ATATTTGACACGATGGTTTATTTAACAATTTCATTTCAAATCTAGCATATAATATTTTTACTTTCTTCCCTCCCTCCCCCTCCATTTCTCTCAGCTTTGTTTTCTTTCTACCAGCATTTTTATTTAGGGGAGTTTCCTGTTCATGTTTACAGAATTATTTCTCCATATTTTTTTTTTCTGCTGCCTCTTCTCAAAATGCTAATCTAAGCAACTCAATATTTCTCTCCTTGATATATGTGTATGTGTGATGTAGATTAAATACAAAGAGCCAAGAGCTTGAGGAAACATAAAAAGAGACTGTGCAATGTGCCTGCAGCTTTCATTTGCACAGCAAATTTAATGTTATCCAGTAACACCAGACAGGTTCGTGGTCTTACTTTTTCTTATTTCACTTAACTTTTTACTCCAACTCCATCCCTCTGACCCGAAACAGCTCTTTTCTGAAAAAAATCTGATTGGTTTTGAACAAATGCATTTCAAATATAGAGATGTAGTTAACCTATCTCTCCATGTTCAGTGCCAGACTAGAAACATGACAGAGTTCATTTAGAACATAATCAACAGATAATAATAGGGTACTCGGAGAAATGGCAGTGAATGACAAGCACCATCAGCCTTTTCAAAGCAGCAAAATTAGACATTTTTAACTCCACATGCACAACAGTGTTAGAAGAAGCAGGAAATGACTAATTTGGAATCCTTTTCTAACGTTCCAGTTTTTAAAAAATGATATTGTAACATTCTCAGGCATTGTCCCGAGCCCGCTCTGCTCGCTGCCTCTGTTGGAAATCAAATTCTGGTCATGTGTTATTTGATGTTATTTGAAGCAGACTGGCTCTCTGGAGTACTTTAGTTGTATCCTTCATCTTCCTCCCTGAGGCCTGGCAGTGCTCAGCCTGTCAGGATGAGGCCCCAGCATCCCTCATGTGTGATTTGCAGTTTTCATTCCTGTAAAGATCCATCTGTTTTATGAACCTCATAATCCTCGGGCTTCTCTGATGTGGGAGCTAGTTGGGCCCTCAGGAAGGTTTGGGTTGTTGTGGTTGCCTGTGTGTGGTTTTGCAGGGCTGACAGAAGGGCTGAGCTGGAGTTTGTGTCTCCAGCCCTGGATTTCTTGTTGTGGTACAACTGGTGACCTCCACTTGCAACCCACTGCCTGTCCAGGTAGCAGATGGTTCTCTTCAAGACATATTTTGACCAGGAGGGCCATGAAGTGCCTGGTTTAGGGACTGAACTTGGCTGGCAGGGCAGTGGGGAAGTGGGGACTGTCCCTTTGCACCCCAAGACACAGTGGCCGCAGACCCCTCCGTCTCCTGGCAGAGCCACAGGGCCCTCAGGGCTCTGATCTTCAGAAAGCTTGGTGCAACAAGAACCTCAGAGAATCACAGAATAATCTGAGGTGGAAAGGACTCACAAGGATCATCGAGTCCAACTCCTGGCCATTCCCAAGAGTCACACCTGGTGCCTGAGAGCGTTGTCCAAATGTTTCTTGAACTCTATCAGGTGCTCTCTGCCTCTTCCAGTGCCCAAACACAGTCTGGGAGAAGAATATTTTTCTAATATCCAAACTAACCCTCCCCTGACACAACTCCAGCTGTTCACTGGTCACCAGTATCTGGAAGTATCTGGAAGTCCATCCTGATTCTCCTCCTCTTCCTCCCGTGCCTCTCTAACCTTGCCCTGGGGCTGCAGCCTTCTGTCCTGTGCCAAAGTGAGCCCCACCACTGTCCCAGCACTCCTTTGTGAAGGGAACCCAGGATCTTGGATGCTTCCAAATGCGTGGAATACAGGCAAATGTGTGAAAAACACAGTGCTGGCACGTACAGCAAGAGAGCTTGGATGCTACTTGTAAATAAATGTTCTTGGCTTCCTTGAGATTGCCACTGTGTGTCACAACTTCCAATTCAGTATTTTATGTGCAGGTACACAATTCCACCAAAAATACACCTTCAAACCAGGATCAGGAGAAGCCTGGCTGTCAGTCCTCTGCTAAACTTGTTTTTTAGGGTAAAGATACAGTCAATAACAAGCTTGAAGAGAGAAGTACACTGACATGAGGAGAGTCACTGCGTGGCTGTGTTCTCACTGTCAGGCTGATCAGGATTTTCTGTGCTGACTGGGAGCATTACAGAAGCCAGAACAAAGAAGACAAATGCCTTTGTAAAAGGGATCATCAGAAGACACAGCAGGTTCAGTGATCATTGAGACTTGTCTTAACACATGAGCAGTCTCCTGAGAGCAGGAAGCTGCTCTTCTGCTTGGCTGCAGAATTGCTTGAAGGCACTATATTTTATTTTATTTTATTATTTTATTATTGTTTTATTTTATTTTACATTATTTTATTTTATTTTACTTTTATTTTATTTTATTTTTTCTTTCTACAGCCTTTACGTTGGGTAGATTGTATGGCTGCTTGTGTCTACTTAAAAATCAGAGCAAAAAACTTCGAATGGGGAAATAATTCATAGTCTCTGCAAATGCACAGAACCAGTAAAAACATGAGATTTGGAGATGGGAATAAAGCTGGGCCTTGATGGAGTTTGCCAGGTGGGAACCTGCCATTTACAGTTGCTTTAGAAGCACTTTGTTAGATGCAAACTAAACTGCTTTCCTTAAAGGAAGAGGAAAAATAATCTGAGCTAATACTTGCTAGTTGCTCAGGTGATGTGGAAGTGGTGATGAGAATTCCCTGAAATGTACTGGTTAAGAGATAAGCTTGTGAAGTTTGCAAACAGAACATAGAGAATGGTACTAAAGCTCAGCAGAGTTCTCATCCTTGTGGTTTTTTAATGTGAATTAAGCATCCCCATTACCTATGGCAAGCAGGCATTTCATTCACAGCCTGCATCTATTTTCAGATCTATCTATGTTTGGTGTCCTTCACCATTCCTGGGGTTATTTTGAGGCTGATATTCTTGTTTGGTCATCTGTTCTCTCAGGGAGCAGGTAAGCTTTCTATTTATTGAAATTCATCTTGTTGTGGGGAAGATTAAAGCCTGGAATTGATTTGAGAGGAGCACTTTGAAGCCCTAAAGTACAAACTGTCTCTCATTTCCATTTCAGACCTCGCTTCACCCCACATTTGAAAACATTCACTCTACAAACCCTATCTCACAAAATGCTCAGGTACCAGATTTAGATGCAAAGGTATCATCGTTTTCTGAACCATAAGGACACCTTTAAATCTTAGTGCACTAACTTGGCATGTTTATAGGATCCTTGGTGCCCCTGCTTCTGCAAGGGGCATTCACCAGGGTAAGGATCTGCTGGTTGTTCTCATGTCTCCTTTTAATGAAGATTTGAAGTTCTTGCTGCTCTCCATTAACAACACAATTAGAACATCCAGGCTGATCACCGGGGGAAAAGGGGAACCAAGGTTTCAACCTTTTTGCCAGATAACATCCAAGTTTCACCTTGCAGAAGGTCTCAGCACTAAAGCAAAGGTTATTCCCCAGCTCTACTCCTCAGGCCCTTCTCCTGAACCCCTCAGAAATGACATCTCTTTCCTGCAGAACACCCTCATCCCAGCCCTGAGGGGCTTTTGGTTCCCTGCAGCTATTCCATTGCTCTGTGGCAACTGAGACAGCTCTTCCCAGCCTTCAGCAAACAGGACAGCACGGAAAGGAAAGTTGGGACACACCCCCACAGAGTAGAATCAACCTCAAACCTACGGCAAAGTCATTCAACCAACTCATTTAAAAATTCATTATCAAGAGCATCTCAGTTCTGAAGGGGAAAAACTGTTCAAAGAGGTTCAGCCACCTCTAATAACATCATATTTTAAAGTGTGCTGTTAATTATTGAATGTTTGCACAGTACTTTGGGAACTTTGTCTAACAAGGAAGGCTGATATGTTGCTACGTAAAAATGATAGAATTAATAAAATAGAAAACATAGAAGCACAAAGCCAGGTTACCCTTATCACTTCATCAAAGCCAGGTTTAACTATCTTCTTTTTTTTGGCTGCTGGCTTAATTAGATAAGCTGCTGAATTTAATTAACTCATCAAACCTAATTTGAAAAGACCTCTCAAGTCAGTAAGAGCTTGTCTTATGTTTGTTATTTCTACCTGTTGCATCGAGCCTTTAATATCACCATTTTGCTATGATATTAGTGGTGGCCTTAATTGTGTTCTACTTTACAGCATTTACTCAGGTGGTGGCACTTGCCTTGTTTCTTAAGTGCCAACATGTGAAAATCAATCACAATTTAATTTAAGGCAGTGAAATCCTTCTTCTAACCCTCTGTCAAGTCAGCCACACGTTAACCCCTGTCCCATAAGTGTAATTTGGGTTTGAGAGGTGAAATTATTTCATAGCAAATCATATTGAGTTTCTGAAGTCCCAATTCCTGGAGAATGCTGTGACACAGAGATCCTCTGGATGCTCTTTTGGGACTATTTAACCAAATTCAAAGGTAATAAATTTGAGGTTGAAATTGGTATTACAGCTACATAATTCATTTGAACACGTCTGTGTGTGATGCTCCAGCTTGTTGTAAAAGTCTGAAACTTCTAAAGACAGAATGACTAGGGAAGAACCTACATTGAAATATTTGCTGTATATTTTAACCAGTTAGCAGGACCCTTTTTTTTTTTTTTGGCCCAGGTTTTACATTCCTAGAGATTTGCCGCACAGAGAGGAGAGAGATAAGTTGATTGCTTAAAAATCAAAATTTCCCTAGAAATTATTTCCTTGCAGTTCTGTAAAAAGTTGTTCTGTTGCAATGCTCTGCAATTCTATTATGCTGCTGATAGAAACATTGCTAATTAAGCCTGGAGGAGCTCGTGTGTATTTGTGAGAAACCATCAACATGCTGGGTGAAATCAAGGGCTTTCTGCCTCTTCCAGGCAGCAGTTTTGCAGAAGTAACTTTGCTCACAATTGCTCTCTCTTCTTCTTCTTCTTTTTTTTCCCTTTCATTTTCATGCTTTTGAGTGCACAATTAAAATAATCAATTAAACAACGAAACGATTTGGGTTTTTTTCCTGTTTTCCCTCAGAACGACTATCGGAAGTTATCTATGCAATGCAAGGACTTCGTGGTGGGGGTGCTGGACCTGTGCAGGGACACTGAGGAGGTGGAGGCCATTCTGAATGGAGATGTCAACATCCACTTGTACCCTGAGCACCACCGGCCAAGCCTGAGCAGGATTAAACTCGCCATCAAATACGAGGTCAAAAAGGTAAAGTTATTCCTTTGGCTCTCTGGTGGTTAAGTGTTCACATCTAAATGATGCTTGCTTGATGTCACCTGAAAAAATCATAAATGAGAGAGAGAATTCAGTGGATCAGGACTGTCCTGAGAACTGTGGTGTTTTGTGGCTTGGTTTGCATTCTGTCATGTTGTTTCATGTTGAGAAGGTTATTTGCAAAGTGAAAAAAAAAAAAAATCCTTAAGTATTTAAAACAACTCTTCAGCTTCAGAGAAGTGTGTTGTGCAAATGGAAAATTTTATTCTGGCAAATTCTAGGCCTGGGTGGTCCCAATTAATTGCTTCCACAATATGCATTGATGCGAACTGGGCTCCTGCTCTGGAAGTCAAAGAGTGTTCCAAATTTTCAAGCTCACATCTGCTCCCTCTTTCCCCTCCCTAACCCACCACCTGCTTCCTTTTGCCTCTTCACTGTGCTGCTGTGCTGGCTGGAGAAGGTCTTTTCCTGTTATGAAAGCCATTAATTAAAGAGAATCTTAAAGCTCATGTTTGAAATTAAATGCTTTCACGCAGGAGCACATGCTGTGGAGCCAAATATTTTCTCCAAGGATGTTGTGTCTCTGCATTGTTCCATCACCAAAACTGAGCAGAACATCTCAGCTCACTCTTAGTTACAAGCTGGGTCGAGTTTAGTTGTTGAAACTGTTGCTTTGGTGACAGGAGCCAACCTTGCTCTGGTGCCCTTCAGAAAACGAACTGATCTAAAAGACACAGAACCTCATCCAGGGACAATCCCCAGTGATTATCAGGACTTTGGTCAGAACATCAAGGCTTTTCCATGTGTGAAATCTTCTGTGCTATTTTGCTCATTTATTCTCCTAAATATTTGTGCCATCCCTCAGACCCCAAGACCACGAGCTGGAGTTGCTGCTCTGAGCACATCCATCGATCCATCCTGGCTTAGCTGCTTTCAGAGGCACATTCCTCCAGTTCTTACCCTGTATTCAAGTGCACCTTTTTGGAATGCCCTAAAGCATCCTTGGGAGGTCATGTACACTTGATCTTTTTGTGTATAAAATATCTTCCTGTGCTCAGGAAAGCCGAGCATCCTTTCTGGATCACGGCAACTTGCTGCTCAGCAATAACAAATGTTAAACTAATTCTGATAGTTACAATTGGAATATAAACGTGAGCATTCATCAGCCTCCTGTCGACCCTCAGGCCAGCACTTCTCAGCATGTTTTTTTCAGCACAATATGTGTAAGATGAGTACTTAACTACTGGTTCTAAGCTATTTGTGGGAGGCAGGGACACATTCAGACAAATGGCTTTGGTTATTGGTAGTGACATGACAATAGACTGATGTTTATCACACCTGCTGAACAAAGACCTTGTGTTGTGGTAACACAGCAATGATTTCCTTACTCGGCAAAACACTTCAGGTGCAAATTTTTGTTCAGTTCAGAGGTATTTTTAGGTTTATATATACAAATACTGTGCTTTGAAACCAGTGTTCATTTCAAGAAAATCCTATGATGGAGAGGGGTGAGAAGGAGGGTGTTGTATTATATGTATTTAATAAACCAATTCTTGCACAGATTCTGTTGATATCTTCTGACCTCCTCTAGTCAGTAAACCTACAACAGGTTTTTATCCATGCCCTAAATGATCCTTCTCTGCATTTTTTTTCCTTTGTTCTCCCCATTGGAGTTCCCTGTTAACTCATCCATTTGTTACTTCAAAAAAACCCAGTTCTCTCTTCACCTGAAAGGACACGGTTTTATTGATCATTATCTTTTTTCCCGATTCACAAAGTTTGAGATGAATCTTGTAAAGTCATTCAAGAAAGCATCAAAGGTGACAGACTTCACTTGTCTGTCTCCTTGTTCCTTTTGTTTCTTTTTGTCTGCAAAGCACATATGAGATGGTGGTGAGAAGTTTAAGGCTCTAATATAATTGAAGGACATTATATAAAGGTAATTGAAGAATTAAGAAACTCTGCTTTACATATTTTGCAGCTAAAATTACAGTAGTTTACAAAGTGGTCTTTAAAAATGCTGTATTACTGTAATTCTCTACAGTTTTTTGAAAACCTAAACAATCCCTCTGTACCCCAGGATTCTTGGAAAAAATTCACTCAAATGTCCTCTGTTGAAGTTTTCCAGAGGCATTTTAGATGAGCTATCTTAATGATTCATGATTCCTTGAAAAATATTAAAATGGGGACAGTCTGTCAAGAGCAAAACAAACAATTTTCAAACATTTAAGCATTTACTGAGTCCTGGATTCTTTGCAAGAAAACGGGCTTTTAGCCCAAGTTGTGGGACTGCTGCAACTTGACCATTGACATTATTTAGTGATGCTTTGAACTTGCATTCTCCAGTCAGGAATGATTTAAGTTGGGTGTTTTTGGTGGATTATAAGCAAGCTGGAGTTGGGGTCAAGGATCAGGAGCTCAGTGATCCCCTGAGCTGCTCCTCGTGCAGCTGATGGGACCTGAAAGTTTACTCTGTGTTCTGGATGGAAAATGTTTTAGAAATGTGATTTTTTTTTTTTTCTTGAGACAACCAAACAATTTTGTTTTCAGACAGATACTAGAAATATTAGGGTAGCACAGGTTTTCTCTGTGTGTGAACTCATTTGTAATTAAGGCAGAGTATGATTTCTGCCTTTTGAGAGGTAGAGGTACAGAGGCTGGGACTACCCTTGGACAGCCAATAGTGAGAAAATGAAGGTTTTGATGTCCCACAACAAAGCTATTTTTCTGCTTTATATCAACTGTAAAGAGGCCTTCATATTTTCTCTTCTCTTCTAAAATCTACAGATTTTTAATCTGTACCACTATGATCCTTTCATGTGTTCCTTTAATGTTGGCAGGGGGCTTATATGCCAACACTTCCCTTTAGGTGTAAAGCTGATGCTTCTCTGTAGGAGGTGACATCTCATTTTCCTTCTTTCCCAACGGCAGAATTATTGCTGCTGTCTTCTTTTAATTGCAAATGTTGAGTAGCCCACCTCTGTTCTCTCAGTAGCCACCACAAAGCCAGAGCACCTTTCTCTTTCATGAGTTTTAATTTAATTAACAGTAAGACACATAAATTGGGTTGGGGGGAAAAAAAAAAGAAAGAAAAAAAAAAAGAAGGAAAAAAAAGAAGAATTAAACAGAACACCAGATGGCTGTGTAAATCCTATTTAACAGAGAGCTGGAACAGGAACTTTTCTCATAACTATATTATTAATAATTAACATGTGGAGGATGCTCTGAACAGAATACTCATGGCTGCATTAGATTATAACTTTTCACTGCCTTGGTCACACCACTCAGATACTGAAGGGCATAAAAAGTCCCAGGTCTCATTAACTGCTGCAGCAACCTGTGCTCCCCATCCACGGACCCAGAGGAGGGGGTTTTGCCCTGCGCAATACCCTGGACAAGAAATATCTTCCAAGGTCTCTCTCCCCATGGAATGGGGCCACACTGGGAGCTTTTCCAGCCCTCACGGGAGCTGGGGAAGGTGAATTAATTCCTGAATGGGCTAAAGAAGCAGCCCTGTTCGTGCTGAAGAGACACTTCTGCCCCCCAAAAGGTGCATTAACAGCAAATGACATTTTGGTAACCCAAAATGAAATATTCCAGCTCCACAGCTTTAGGATTTTCTCACAGGACAAACACTGATCTGTCACTACCCCCGTGGCTGGGACAGGACAGGCTTATGTCTGACCACCCAAATTTGAACCCTCAAGGAGGAGAATTCCTCAAGAAAAAAAAGAATTTCAAGGAGTTGGAGTTTTTTCTCTGCACCCCCTGGTTAATTTGTTCCCACTTTTTAGTTTCAGGAACATTTAACTGAGGTCTTGTGGAGCCATTGGTGGCTTGGACAGTGGTGGTGGGAAGAAAAGTGTCTCTCATTTCCACCACTGGAGAGCCAGTTGATACTGTACAAATGTAATTTAATATTCAGGGGAACAGTGGAAACACTCTGGTCATTCTGGACTCTTCAGCTTATCCACGTAACTTTTCTTTTTACATTTTTAATTGCATATTACAGATGTTTTGTCAGAGGTTGGAAAGGGAAGGAGTCACTTCCCTTCCTCACAGAAAACATTTCTATATCTCTGAGTATTTCATTAGCAAGGTTCCTTCCTCCCACGAAAATCTGTGACTCTGATTATTTCCTCTTGCCCAGATGTTTTAATCTTTTTTTTTCTTTTCCGTGACGAATCTCATTTGGTTATTTCCTGCCCATACATCCATCCTCTTAAGGCTTAAATGAATCATTTCTCCCTCCTGGATGGTGTTTGCAATATTCCCAATTTAATGTAATATGCAGACTTAATTATTTTCATTTGCAGAGTGCCACAGGGCCTTAGATGTCCATCAAGATATTGAGAAGTTAGCACAGGAACACATCAAACTCATTACATGGATGTACATCACAGATGAAAGGGCTTAGAATTACCTTTATTAATAATAAAATTCTTTTGGAGAAGGGCCATTTTCTCTTAGACAAAAAAAAAATATTAATTAATATGGTTTGCTACAAACCTGACTTTAGCTGACTCCAATTTTGAATTTATTTATGTCCCCATAGGCAACAGACCTGTAAATGTGCGTTTTGGATGGAAATTCAGGTACAGATGAACGCAACCCTTCAAAAAAACCCCTAAAAATTCAGTATTTCAAGTTATTGAGGGTATTTTCCCAAGTGATGTTCAAATTTGGATGTCTGCATGGATACTGTCCCAGGGGGAGGCTTTCCTTCTTGTCACCCAGCTGTAGATTTTGGCATCTGAGCAGGTTTTTGGGACTTTCTGCCTGATGAAGAGAGGAGTCTCATCCTATGAGTGAGTCTGTCCCTCCTTCAGCTCTGCTGGGAGTGGAACTATTTACACCAGAGACATCTGAGCTTGAGAACAGCCCAGTTTCTTCACCATACAGCCAAAGGAAAATAATTCCTGTCTCTCCTGGGAGGGGAATAGCCTCTGGAATTTTAAATTTCTCCTTCTGTGCCCACTGCGGTTGTTTTTTGA